ACCAGGACCAGAGGGTTCTGGGTTGGAGTCCCGGGGGAACCAGGACCTTTCTGGGTGGAGTCTGCATGTTCTCCTGTGTCTGTGGGTTCTCTCCGGGTTCTCCGGCTTCCTCCCACCGTCCAAAAACCTGCATGTTAGGTTGGTTGGACTCCAAACTGCCCTTAGTGTGAGTGTGTGTGGTTGTTGGTCCTTGCGTGTCTCTGTGTGTCCCTGTGATGGACTGGGGACCGTCCAGGGCGACCCCGCCTCTCCCCATTGACCACTGGGATAGGCTCCAGTCCCCCCCACGACCCCATTAGGGAATAAGGAGTTACCATAATGGATGGATGGATTATTTTGAAGCATGGAGGCATTGAAAAAGCGACTTGAGTTTGCTGGAGATGCTGGGAGACCCCCCCCCCTCCTTTCCTGCTCTGGGATTGGCTCTGAGACTCTGGCGTCTGTGTGTCCACAGGGTTCGGCCGACTCCTACACCAGCCGTCCATCAGACTCCGATGTGTCCCTGGAGGAGGATAAGGAGGCAGTCCGCAGAGAGGCAGAGCGACAGGCCCAGGCACAGCTTGACAAGGCCAAGGTTTGTAAACCGGACTAACCCTAACCCTAACCCTAACCCTAACCCTAACTGGACTCACCCCGGTTCTGCTTAAGGGGTCCGATACAGAGGCCCTGAGGGGTCCTCCATCTCCTGAACTCACACAGAGCAATCTGTACACCAGTGTTTTTCAACCTTTTTTGAGCCAAGGTACATTTTTTCATTGAAATAACCACCAACCAAAAATGTCAAACAAATCTGTAGCCGCCTATAGTAACACTATAGTTATTCTTATCTTATCAAGAAATCGACATTTCGTTGTCAAGATTCACCTTGTGTTTTTTGTACCATGACAATAAAGGAAGTCTAAGTCTAAGTCTTATCTTAAGTGTCTTGAATAGGAATCAAATAAACACAAAAATGTATTTTTATCATATTTTGTATTTCGTCTTTCAAATTGCACTTAACATGTCCACTTCAATATACAAAATTATATACAAAATCTAGTCATAAGGAATTATTACATGATTACGCCACCAGTCACTAGTACAGCACAGACACTCAAAAATGATTTGCAGATAATAATTCCTTATCAAAAAGTATTTTTAGACCAATTAGGTGAAATAGGATGATTTTCTACGGCACACCTGACCATCACTCGCGGACGGTTATATATGTAACACTTTAGTCGGTTCCCGGACTCGTGGGGGTAGTGAATGTCCCTATGAGTCCGGGAATACAAAACAAATGTTTGTTTTTCTTTTTCCTTCAGTAATTCTTGGCAGGCATAACTCAGATTATGAAACAAACTTTACGCCCCGTCATTAAAAAGTAGAGTTTGCTTCCTTTTCATTTTCTCCTTTATGTATTTCCTGCTTTCATCACGAGAAACTCCGCCTTCTTTCTGGGTCTTGAATAAGTTCACAAAGCAAAAAAACATAAACACACACACACACACACAGACACACACACACGTGCGCGATATAGCAGGAATTGCGAGACAGGAATTGCAATCAGAGCTCGCTTCCAGAGTATCAGTCCAATCGCTGGCAGCGTTTGGGTTTGTTTGCCTTTGATCTGTGAAATGATTCGGATATCTCCTTTTTCTGCCCCCTTCCTGTCTGACCGCTCGCTGGGAATCTTAGCGTTGGACTTCTTTCGTTTTAGCGGCAGCAGGTGGCTGAGAAATGGGCCGACCGTCTCCTATCGCCTGTTTGGTTTTTATTATCCTTTCTTTGTAATAAGTTTTGGATTTAAACACTCAAACAAATACGGTACAAAGCCTACATGGGATATTATGCAAAAAAAAAAGCTTACAACACACAATCAGACAATTAAAGTAAAAATAAAAGGTGTTCCTGGATGATGAAGAAAGGAAATAAAGAAAGGAAACAAAAAATGGTGACAGAATATGAAATATATACGTCTAATACGCACATACAAACATACAAATAATAACAACGTGGAGAACTCTAATTCTCACATTCTTGCCAGTCTTATAATAACACCGCTAACCATTTGCCACTTAATCTAGTCAGTATAACCTCATATGATACAGTTTCAGTCATAAAGGCTTTCTATTCCTGGAATGTGGGGTGTCTTTCAGCAAAAGTTAGCCAAACCATCACTGGGTGGACCTCTTTTGTGAGTTGGGGTATTGCTGTTTTGTCTCCAAGAAGACATAGACGAGGACATATTGGGAGAGTTATGTCCATCCACGTCTCTAGGAATTTAAGTACTTTGTCCCAGAATGGTTTAACACACTCCCGTTGTTTAGTTTAGCATGTAGCCGGGAGGGTTACGGCCTTTTCTGACCGTCCACTGGAGCAGATATTTTCCCCTCTGTTCTGTATCTCACAGAAACTGGCAGAGACCGATCATTCCAGCAGATACTGGCTGTTAACTTTCCAGAGTGGCCCTCTCTCTAATTAAAAAGATAAAGTTGACTTTATAGATAACCTGGCATAGATTACCCCTGCTGCTATTTTACATGACAGATGACCGGTAAAAAAAAAAAAGCCTCTCAGTGGTCTGACCACCATAAAAAAAAAGAGAGCAGGCCGGGGTCAGGGGAAGTGCAGACTCTCAGACTCTGAGCCTTTATGGGCAGTAAGTCACAGCCACTTCTTTCAGGCCGCTGCCAAATAAGTGCTTTCATTTCATTTCATTTTTTCATTTATTTTGAAACATGACATGATTTAACAATGTTTACATTGAATGCTTCATAAACATGCATCATAAGCTTATTACGCCTCAGTTACATGTGTCATGGTGGTAAAGGACAGTTATTTACAGTAAGACAAACAGTATACCAACTTTTTATATATTACTCTTTTTTGTATTCATCAAAAATACTTTTTTTATATTCTTTTTTGAATTGCTGGATGCTTTTACATTGTTTAATGTTTTCACTCCGCTAATTGATAAGCTAAAGCTTCTTTTTGTTGTTCGAACATACTTAGTTTTGAAATGTAATTTTCCTCTTAGATTATATTTTCCATCTCCATCAGGAAGCAGGAAGTAAGTTATTTCTTGCTTTATAAAGAATTTGAGCACTTTTGAAATCGATCAGATCTACAAATTTAAGAACTCTTGAATCTATAATGTTTGTTATTCGTTACTCGTATTGCTTTCTTTTGCATAATAATCAATGGTTGCTTGGATTAGAGCTGGGAGTAGAGGGACTGGTCAGAATCACATCTGCTGGACGGAGGCTTTCAGAGGCGAGCGTCAACAAACCTTCTGGTGGCTTTGAGTTCCCTCTCAGATCTTTGGGGCGTTTCCGCCTCATTAGCAGAGCGCTTTGTTCGGGTTTTCACGCTGCTGTCAGACCCGCCCGGCATTAAATACCCGCAAAGCAAAGCCGGACACCGACGGACGAAAGAGCCGGGGGTGGATCTTAGGGAGGACTCAGTCGCGGAGATTCGTGGAAACAGGGTTTATTGTAACAAAAAAGCACTAAAACCGAGTGGATGAAGACAAGGTTCAAAACGAGGCTGTGACAAAAACTATGATCAAAGTAGCAAAGCAAGATTAACATGGCTGTGACAAAAGTATTAAAAAAAAAAACTATGGCAAAAGTATCAAAATAAAGTAAACAAGACTATGGCAAAACAAGATTAACAAAACTGTGGCAAGGCTGTGACAAAAATCAAACCTTACGTGGCGAGGGGTGACGAAAAACAAAAACACACCGGCACAGGACATGGGAAACGAGGAATATTTAAACACATGAGGGAGGGGAAACCAGGTGTACACAATAGGTAATCAAGACATGACGAGACACCAGACATTCCCCCAGACGTGACACGGGGAACAAAAGAGGAGTATTCAAAAGTTTCAGAGATTTCCCCTTTAAGCTAGTGAAGACCCACACTGAGTCACATCTAAAAAAGCCAGATGTGTAGCTCTCATTTCCTCTGACAAGTTACCAGAGAAGGGAAATGTTTCTTTTTATGGATTGAAATCTCACATTTGGCTTTATTAGAGTTTGACTGCAAGTCCTTGAAGTGAATAAAAACTTTGAAGAGTTGCGGGTTGAGGCCGATCAGCAGCTCCTTATCCACGGATTTTCATTTCAGATCCTTCATTGCTTTTTTCTGGTGCTCCCTTGGTGAGAAAAAAAAGGGAATCAAGCTTATTATTTTGATATTTCAGATGACGGAGGTTTAGAAAAACGACAGCAAATGATGCTGACTGTATTTCGGGTTTTTGATTATCAGAAATCAGATCAAAAATACTTTAATAAACCCAGAGGGAAATTATTTAATTATTATTATTTAATTTAATTAGTGAACCGATGGTGTTCTGAGCCTTACAAAAAAAAAA